TCCACCAGATACATATTTACTTATATTTTCTCAGAGTTTCTTCACAGTTTCATTTTGCTTAAGAAATAATTTTTGGGCTGGGCATGAGTGGCTCATGCTTGTAATCCCAGCACTTTGGGAGGCCAAGACAGGTGGATCACCTGAGGTCAGGAGTTGAAGATAAGCCTGGCCAGCATGGTGAAACTCTGTCTCTACTAAAAATACAATCAGCCAGGCATGGTGGCGGATGCCTATAATCCTAAATACTCCAGAGGCTGAGGCATGAGAGTATCACTTGAACCCAGGAGGTGGAGGTTGTAGTGAGCCAAGATCACACCATTATACTCCAGCCTGGAAGACAGAGCTAGACTCTGTCTAAAAAGAAAAAAGAAAAAAATATACATATATAAAAAGCGGATTCTAGAGAACCAGTTTTTTGGTTTACTGTATTTTATTCATCTATTTCTAGAGTTGAAAACAATTTTAAAACATCTAGAAACAATGTTGAGGTATATGTATTCTATAACTTAGAATGCTGCTTTTTAAATTTTCAGCCTTTTCATTTTATTGGCTTGAGTTCAAAAATACAACTAATCTTCCAGTCAAAAATAGCACTTTATGCCCAGACATTTTGGCCTTGTTTTCAGGATGTTGACAGCTTGATTTTAGTTGAAGAGCCTACTTTTTGCCCCGTTCTGTGTCTTTGCTCTTCTTCACCACTTTTTTTTTTTTTCTTTTGTGATGGGATCTTGCTCTGTCACCCAGGCTGGAGTACAGTGGCACAATCATAGCTCACTACAGCCTTGAACTCGGGCTCAAGTGATCCTCTTGCCTCATCCTCCCAAGTAGCTGGGATTACAGGCATTTACCACCACACTCAGCTAATTTTTTTGTAGAGACTGGGGTCTTGCTATGTTGCCAAGGCTGGGCTAGAACTCCTGTTGGCCGCTTCGTGAGTTAGTCTCCCATTCCCTTGCCTTTCTTTTACACTTTGTTTGCCACTTGTCCCCTTTTCTCCATTCTTTCTTGCTTCCTTCCTTCTCCATAAATCTTCCTCTTATCTTTTACCTTTGTCACGTTACTGCTTTTCTTTTTCTTCTCATATTTCTCTTTGCCCCTTTTCACCCTCCCTGCTTTCTATACAGATAGGTCAGATAAATTTAGTTTCTTTTGCTGTATCCAAGTGCTTTTAAGAGTGTCTGACAAATGTCTAACAAATGTTAGAACCCTCAATACACCTTTTCTGAATTATAAGTAATAAAATTTCACAGATAATCTCTTACTCATTTTTTTTTTCTGGCACCTGTCACAACTCCAATTAATAAACATTAAGAACCTATTATATGTCAGACACTGAATCACGAAGATGAAAGTAAGACTAGGCCCTGCCCTCAAGGAATTTACAGTATAGGAAGAGAGACTAACAGTAGATGGCTTGTAAATCTTTATGCTAATATATTATGGAGGAGAAGCACTTTTAGCCAACTAGAAAGTTCTGGGAAATCTGGGAAAAGAATGATGAATAAGGTCTTGCAAGATAAAAGTAGGAAGGGTAACAACAATGTGTATATACTTAACAAGACTGAACTGTAGACTAAGAATGGTTAAGGGGGCAGATTTTATTATCTCATGCATATTTACCATAATTTAAAATAAAAAGTAGGAAATGTGTTCCAGATAGTGAGAATGGCAGGATCACATTGTCTAAAAAATTGACTCATAGGGAACTATGATAAATATAGTTGACTCTTGAATAACACAAGGAGTTAGAGGCACTGTCTCCTTGCATAGTCAAAATCTACTTACAACTTTTGACTCCCCCAAAACTTAACTACTGATAGTCTATTGTTGACTGAAAGCCCTGCCAAGAACATAGTTGATTAACATATATTTTGTATGTTATACAGATTATATGCTGTATTCTTACAATAAAGTAAGCTAGAGAAAAGAAAATCATAATGAAGAGAAGATATATTTACTATGCATTAAGTGGAAGTGGATCATCATAAAGGTCTTTATCCTCATTATCATCACATTAGGCGGAGGACAAGGAGGCCCAGGAGGGGTTGGTTTTGCTGTCTCAAGGGTGGCAGAGATGGAAGAGGTGGAGGAGACGAAAGGAGAGGCAGGTGCACTTGGTGTAACTTTATAGAAAATATCATAATTTGTCTGACTTTTGCTTTTTCATTTCTCTAAAAATGTTACTATATGGTGCCAATTCTTCCACTGTTTGTTTTAGTTTTAATACCCATATCACAGAGGGTAGATGCTGTGAAAGAAGTCAAACAGTCTTGAGTAGTCAGAGCCCTTGTGCCAGATTGTCTAATGTCCGTTTGTTTTCTGGCATTGCTGCTTCTCTGTCTTCTCATTGTCTTGCACTGGTTCAGAAGCCCTTCTTCATGAAGTCATCTTCTGTTCATTACTGTGGTGTGGTGTTAGCACTTGAATTTCTCCAACATCCATATCTTGAAACTTTTTTTCCCCATATTCATGATCTCTTTTATGATTTCCTTAATTTGCTGTGTTGTAAATTCTATGAAATCCTGGACAACATCTGGACAATTTTTTTCTAGATGGGATTTATTGTTTCACGGCTTTTCTTTTTCTAAGAGATGGGGGTCTTGCTCTGTTGCCAGGGCTGGAATGCAGTGGCTATTGACAGGCAGGGTCATAGAGCACAGTACAGCCTCCAGCTCTTGGTCTTAAGCGATCCTCTTGCCTCAGCCTCCTGAGTAGCTGGGGCTACAGGTGCATGTGCCACCACTCCTGGCTTAATGGCTTTTTCTATAATAATGATGGCATCTTCAATGGTATAATCCTTCTAGACATTTATGATGTTCTATCATGGTTCTCTTCTGTAGTATTGATAATCCTTTCCATAGAGTAGGGCATGTAATGAAGTTCTTAAAGGTCTTTGTGACCGCCGGATCTCGAGGTTGAATTAGAGATGTTGTGTTTGGGAATAAGTAGACCACTTGACCCCTTTGGTCTTGAATTCATGGGGTTCCGGGTTGCCTGTGACATTGTCCAACATCAAAAGAACTTTAAAAGGTAGTCCCTTAGTGGCAAGGTACGTCCTGACTTCAGGAACAAAGCAGCGATGGAACCAATCCAGAAAAAGCGCTCTTGTACAGGCCTTCTTGTACAGCCAAGACTGGCAGCTGGTGTCTATCTTTTCCCCTCAAGGATTGAAGGTTCACAGCATTTATAGATAAGGTCAGTCTTGATCATAAATCCCACTTCATTTGCACAAAATAGTAGAATTTCCCTATCCCTTCTTGCCTTAAATCTTGGTGCTTGCTTCTGTTCCTTACTAATAAATATCCTTTGTGGCATTTTCTTCCCCCCAGAATACAGCACTTTTGTCTACATTAAAAACCTGTTCAGGCAGATATTATTTCTCTTTGGTGATTTTCTCAGTGGCATCTGGAAACTTGTGTGCTGCCTTTTGGTTGGCAGAAGCTGCTTTTCCTGTTCTCTTAACATTTTAAAAACCAAACCTCCTTCTAAAATTCAAACCATAATTTGCTGGCATTCAATTTTTCAGCTTTAAAGATCCATCATCTTCCCTTTGCTTTAAGTTGTAATATGATGACTTTGCTTTTTCTGAAATTATATTAGAGTCTATAGGAATGTCTTTCTATTTCTTTTTTCTTTGTTTCTTTTTTTTGAGACTGAGTCTTGTTCTATCACCCAGGCTGGAGTGCAGTGGCACAATCTCGGCTCACTGCAACCTCCGCCCACAGGTTCAAGCAATTCTTATGCCTCAGCCTCCCTAGTAGCTAAGATTATAGGCACCTGCCACCACACCTGGCTAATTTTGTATTTTTAGTGGAGACGGGGGTTTTACCATATTGGCCAGGCTGGTCTGGAACTCCTGACCTCAAGTGATACACCCACTTTGGCCTCCCAAAGTGCTGGGATTACAGGCATGAGCTACCATGCCCAGTCAGGAATATCTTTCTTACATCAATCTTGCTTTCACATGAAGGCTGTATTTTTAATTCAAGATAAAAAAGCATTTCACAAGAAGTGCCGTCTTTGCACCTGATGGTGTAGCTGCAGTGATGCAACGATAGGCTCATTAATTTTCTTTTCTTTCTTTCTTTCTTTTTTTTTTTTTTTAACACAATGGTCCTTAAGCTGGATTCACCTATTTTGAAATGGTGGGCAACTGTAGCTGAAGATCTTAATCTCTGGCACATATCAAGCCATTCAATTTTTCTTGTAATATCATGTGTTTTCTCTGCTTCTTGGGAGCACTTCCAGGATCACTAGTGACACTTTATATGGATGTCATGGTGTTATTTAAGGTTTACACTATTGCACTAAACATCATAAAAATATGTGAGAACTGTGAGAGATCACTTTTTATGGCAAGATGCAATTTACTGGAGAGACAAACTGTTCATGAAGAAATGACTAGTGAGTGTCACAAGGCATTTGAAGCAGATACTTGTAACACTTCAGCTTACCACAATAGCAACAAGAGGTAGCTGTGAAATTATTACAGTATTATAGTGTGTACTACAGTCAGTTTTATGCAGTTATGATTTAATACTGCATCTTTATGTCTTTTACATTTCTCTTTGCTGTGAGTGGTGCCATTTATGGTCTGTAAGTAATATTGTATCTTTATGTCTTTTACATTTCTCTTTGCTGTGAGTGGTGCCATTTATGGTCTGTAAGTGTGTGGGTAAGTTTTGATTAATTTTAACTTTTTATAATTGGTGTATAATTTATGGTAGTAAATGATAAAGTAGACTAGTATCTACATATATTTTATGCATTCATTAAATGCCTAACATTATCTTAAATTTTTCATATTTCTAGTTCATCTGTGAGTTTTTTCAAATTATCATAAATCTCCAAAAATTTTTCCAATATTTGTATTGAAAAAAATCCATATATAAGTGGACCCATGCAGTTCAAACTCGTATTGTTCAAGGGTCAACTCTAGGTCTTTCTTATACTTGGTTAATTATTTCAAACTATACATTTACCTTTTTCTCTATTCTCAGAGTTGGGTATCAGAAATTAAGAAAGAAGAAGATAAAATGTACTTTCATGAAACCGAGACATTTCCGGCAATGAAAGATAATTTGCCTCCAGTTCGTGGTTCAAACAGCTGTCTTCATGCTGGCAAAGTAGGTCTTTTTGATATCTTTGTGGGTGGAAGGGGAGAGGATTGTTCCTGTTTATTAAGGGGCAATCTCAGTTTAATTGGAACAGCCTATGTGTGCTGTCCTCTAGGAGAGTCGGGAGGTTTTTCAGCTGCCTGGGAACTACCACCTTCTTTAATAGGCTGTATCCCATTACTTGGAGATTAAAATGAAACAGTTTTTTCTTTGAAGTCTTGTACCTTGGGTTTATTTACACACACATACCCTATCTCTTCTGCCCAGTTTTGATGAGAGCAAAAGGTCTGATTCAGTGTGTGAAAATTTCAGGGAACAATTATATATATCCAGTAGGGCTACAGAGGATATATCATATTCCATAATTTAATTATGTATTTAAAATAGTAAACAGATACTTTCAGTACTTATAAATGTCATTCCTCGATTTAGTGCATGTTGTTTTCCCCTTATTCCCATTTCTCTGTGGTTGGTCCCTGTTTTGTCACATAGACCTCTCCTTTTTAATCCATGGGTTCCATAGAGAAGGGGCCTGTTGAAGTTCCAGGCCCATTCTATTTAACTTTAGATTGAAACTGGGGTTTCTGGCATCCATATGACCCTGTAATCCATATGACCTTGGGGAGTCAGGTGACTCCCCAAGTCTTTTCATTCTAGGTTAACTCATTCTTGTTTTTCTCATCTTTTCTTTGAATCAATTTTATTTTTAAAATATCCAGGGCCCTTCATCACTCTGCTCCGTGATAATTTACCTTCTTGGATCTTTGTATTCCTCATTAGGAATTATGCAGGTAGCTGAGGTGCACGATAATCTGGTGAGGATGCCACTATCTGCAATCAATGAAATTGTATTTATTGAATAGTCGGCCAGGCACGGTGGCTCATGCCTATAATCTCAGCATTTTGGGAGGCCGAGGCAGGTGGATTATTTGAGGCCAGGAGTTTGAGACCAGCCTGGCCAACATGGTGAAACCCCATCTCTACTAAAAATACAAAAACATTAGCCAGCATGGTGGCATGTGCCTGTAATCCCAACTTCTTGGGAGGCTGAGGCATGAGAATTGCTTAAACCCAGGAGGTGGAGATTGAAGTGAGCTGAGATCATGCCACTGGCCTCCAGTCTGGGTGACACAGCAAAACTCTGTCTCAAAAAAAAAACGGCCGGGCCCAGTGGCTCACGTCTGTAATCCCAATACTTTGGGAAGCTGAGGCAGGCAGATCACTTGAAGTCAGGAGTTCAAGGCCAGCCTGGCCAATATGGTGAACCCTTTCTCTACTAAAAATACAAAAATTATCCAGGCGTGGTGGTGGGCAACTTAATCCCAGCTACTGGGGAGGCTGAGGCAGGGAATTGCTTGAACCCGGGGGGCGGAGGTTTCAGTGAACTGAGGTCTTACCACTGCACTCCATCCAGCCTGGGTGATAGAGTGAGACTCCATCTCAAAAAAAAAAAAAAAAAAAAAAAAAAAGTCCCTGTGTACTAAGACTTTGCTCTGAAAATATAATAATATAACTACGAATAATACTTGGTCATTGCCCTGAAAGAGCAATGGGTGGACAGACTAGTGGTATAGTATGGTCTAGGAAACCCTTGAAGTTCCAGAGATTCTTCCAAGGGGTCCAGAAAGTCAGTGCTATTTTGAAAATAATACTAACGCTTTGCCCTTGTCACTGTGTTGGTATTTGCACTGAGGATAAAGCTGTTGTTGCCTTAATGTGAAGCAAGGCAGGCAGCACACTGTACGTACAGTAAAAACAAATTCCAGTTTTACTTAATACCTTTGATAAAATAATAGAATGTTTACTTTGTTAGATCTTGAACATCAAGGATATGGCCTTTTAGTATTTTGTGTGACAAAGTGAGAAGTATGCAGAAAGCATTTTCCTACATAGTGAAATAAGATGGTTATGATATGATATATAGTCATGTTTTCCTGGAATGCTGTTTTTACTTGAAATAATGGCTGACAAACTATCATTATTCAGACTTGGGATTTTGGCAGAAATTCTGTTGAAAGTGAATGAAGGAGGCCTGTCACTTTAAGGAAAACAACTCACGAAAATCTGAGCTTTCAAGTGCAAATTAGGGCCAGGCAAGAAAGGGCAGGGGTTTATGCCTGTAATCCCATTACTTTGGGAGGCCAAGGCAGGTGGATCATTGAGCCCAGGAGTTCAAGGCCTGGGCAACATAGCAAGACCCCATCTCTACAAATTTTTTTTTTTTTAATTAGCCTGGTATGATGGCATGTGCCTGTAGTTCTAGTTCCAGCTACTCAGGAAACTGAGGTAAGAGGCCAAGGCTGCAGTGAGCCATGATGGTACCACTGTACTTCAGTGTGGGGGACAGAGCAAGACCCTATCTCTAAAAGCAAAGTGCAAATTAGGGCTTTAGGTATTAAATATTTTGTATAATATAATATCTAATAATTTAGATACTATGTGTTTCTCAAATATCTGCTTGTGACAGAAAATAGCCCTTAAGGGGGATACTTGTCAGAGGACAATTAAAACAAATTTCAAACTCTGATTGGCTTCTATTAACAATTCGTGAATCAGGATGACATCTCTTCTAAAAATTTAGAAAAATGTGCTCCAATGGCCATGGCAGAACCCCTGGTTTTTATAAGGTAGCTTGAGCAGGGACAAGGAATATAAAAAGTAGACCGTTAAACAACAGGCTACTCTGCATTACTTTCCTTATAAAGGTTAAAGCAGAGATTTGTCTATTATTACTGTCTCTTGATTTCTCCAGTCAGATAAGCAACTTAGTTTTGGTTTGCTTATGTGGAACTTTAGCACTAGTGACTACATTTTAGATTAGTCTGTTGGGGCCTAGTGCAGGAGCTTAGTCCAAATTAGTGATCTCCTATAAATTTTATTTAACATGTTTGAAAATCTTTTTTGATGCATTCCATGCAGATATTAACAAATTATGATTTTTAAAATTGTATAATGAAATGTGTGACTATTTGGAAGACCTGTATAACTCCAGTGACCAATAATTTTGAAGAGTATGTGAGTGTCATTGTAGAAAATAAAAAGTTCCTCTTCAAAGTTTCCCTTCTTGTTAAAGAATAAAAAATAAATATTAGAAATAATAGTTTATTTTATAGACTAACTTCCTTCAAATCCTTCTTGCTTTTTGCTAATAACTTTTTGTTAAGCCCTATCCTACGTAGCTGTTAGATATAAAGAAATGAGTACATTCTATGTCCTTTTACTTTAACCAAGATATTTGTTCTGGACATGCTCAGGTATGTCCCAGCTTGCAGCCTATGTCCCTTCCTAATTTGGAAATGTTACTACTTTTCTAAGTACTTTCACAAGCAACTTACTCTTTTCCTTTGTTCTCCATTGCTTTTACCTATTTAGGAAAGTTTTAAGTTGTTAGCCAATCAGGTTTAGCTTAGACTGTGAGGTCCAGCTCCAACCAACTAAGATAGGACACAGTGGTAAGAACCCAATGTGTAAGCAATAAATATTTCTGCCTTTCCTTTGTTCATTGTGCTCCTGTGGCAAGATTGCTGATGAGTAGCACCCTTTCTGCAGAAAGTAAAATTACCTTGCTGAGAAAATTCTTTGTATGAGCACTAGTTCTTTTTGGCACTGAGGAACGAGCATTTCTAACGTCATGATACTGAAAAGTTTGAGCCCCACTGAAGTAGCATATTATGAATTATGACAGTAAATATGCAGTGTTATGGGAATAGGTAGAAGGCACATGTTCCAATCTTTCAAAGCCAGGGTGCATTGCCTTCTTAAAATATCCAAATATGATACTACACATTAGATTTTATCACATATACTGAGTCCATATCTTGATACTTTTATTGCTCCACATTCATTTTTTTATTTATTGAAAACTTCTTGCTTGTTTATTCAGTTATAATTGATAAAACTTGCATATATTTATGGCATGCAATGTAATATTTTGATATATCTACATATTTTGAAATACATACTGCAATCAAGCCAATTCATGTTCATTTTTTGATCCCTAAAGGGGGATTTTTTTTGTCAGAGGTAGGTATTTGAGAGCCAAATATGAATATTAAATACCCCTAATTTCTTTTTTCTTTTTTTTTTTTTTTTTTTGAGATGGAGTCTTGCTCTGTCACCAGGCTAATCTTAGCTCATTGCAACCTCCACCTCCCAGGTTCAAGCAATTCTCTGGTCTCGGCCTCCTGAATAGCTGGGATTACAGGTGTCCACCACCATGCCCAGCTAGTTTTTGCATTTTTAGTAGAGATGAGGTTTCACCATGTTGGCCAGGATGGTCTCAATTTCCTGACCTCGTGATCCACCCACCCTGACCTCCCAAAGTGCTGGGATTACAGGCATGAACCATCACGCCTGGCTAAATACCCCTGATTTCTAATCAATGCCCTTTTCAAACTGAGTTGTACCACTTGTATTACTTTCCTAGGGCTGCTGTAACACCACAGGAAGTGGCCAGCATAAAACAGCAGAAATCTATTGTTTCATGTTTCTAGGGGCTAGAAATACAAAGTCAAGGTATTGGTAGGGTCCTCCAAAACCTGAAAGGGAAGATCCTTCCTTGGCTCTTCAAGCTTCTGGTATCCCTGGCCTTCCTTGGCTTATAGCAGCACAACTCTAAGCTCTATTTTCATTTTCACATGGCTAGCTTCCTTCTATTGGAACCTCTTCTCCTCTTTTTATAAGGACATAGTCATATTGGATTAGGGCCCACCCTAATGACTTCATCTTAACTTTATTACATTGCAAAGACCTTATTTCCAAATAAGGTCTCATTCACAGGTACCAGGGGTTAGGACTTCATCATATTGTTTTGGGAGACACAATTCAACCTATAACATCATCTTAGCATTGAGAACATTGTCTTTATGAGCAGGAAATTGAGTTCAAGCATCAAATGACACTTACTGAGCCTGTAAGGACTCCATAGCATTCCTTTGTATAGTGTATATAGTTCCTAGTATTGCTATTAGCAAACCCAAGCCTAATGAGAATGAGTATATGTAATAGTTTAAAAACAAATCAGTACCTATTTTAGTATGATAAATTCTGCTATATTTCCATTTCTTCAGACTATATAAATATTTTAAAGTTAATATTCCTTAGTACTTATCTAGAAAAAATTGTACCCTCTCTGGGAGACTGATTATTTGTGAGCATTATGGCTACTGTTTGCTTTTCTCTCATTCTCTTCTGGTGAAGAACCTGCCCTCCGTTTTCGGCAGTGTGAATATGGCTACTTTGGGCCACTGTTAGTGCTTGGTCAGGATGGGCCCATGACCCAAGCTGGGCAATCAGTCCTTCCTTGAAATTTCTCTTATTGAAGATAAAAGAGTCACTCTCCTTTTCCTCTAGTGGAGACAGCTGTGAGGTTATAATTCCAGAATGCTTATGGCAATGTTTCCTGCCACATGAAGAAAGCAAGTACCATCAAGGAAAGTGAAATAGTAGATAGAGAGGAGCAGAGACTGGGAGGGGCAAGGAGAGGTGGAGAAAGGGCGTAGGGATCCCCTTATCCAGCAGTACCCCTGCCCTTCTACCAGTTTAGTTATATAAGCTGATAATTTCTTTTTTTAATATAATGATTCCAAATCAGATTACTGTCATTGCAAACAAAACACTTCTAATATAGCAGTTATTCTTGTTTCTCCAATGCCTAGGTTTGAAAAGAATGAATCAGAATTTAGGACTTTTTTGTTATAAGAAAATCAGTAATAATCATATTCACATAAGTTTTAAAATTATATATATATAGTTAAAAGCCTGTAGATTGTCCCCAGAATTAACTTTAAAATTCTTTCTTTTACATGCTGTATATTATTAATAACTATAATACTGAAGTTATTATAACTTCTAGGGTACCTATTTTTCTTATCTATTCCATTTGTGTATCTTTTTATTTTGAGACAGAGTCTCGCTTTATCACCCAGGCTGGAGTGTAGTGGCACAATCTGCTCACTGTACCCTCCACTTCCCAGGTTCAAGCAATTCTCATGCCTCAACCTCCAAGTAGCTGGGATTACAGGCATGCACCACCATGCTCAGCTAATTTTTGTATGTTTAGTAGAGACTGGGTTTTACCATGTTGGCCAGAGTGGTCTGGAACTCCTGGCCTCAAGTGATCTGTCCACCTCAGCCTCCCAAAGTGCTGGGATTACAGGTGTGAGCCACCACACTCGTCCTCCATTTGTATATCTTAGCCCAATACTTTACATTGAATATAAAGTAAAACCTGATAATGTTATGTTAAATGTGTTAAATTAAATATGATTTTATTCTTTTAGGGAAAATATTCTAAAAGACCAACTAAAAAGAAAACTCCAAGAGATTATGCAGAATGGGATAAGTATGTTTTACATGTCTTTATATAAAATATATCACTAAAAAAAGTTATCTACCACAAAATACTGCAATAATTTTTTTTTTTTGAGACGGAGTTTCGCTCTTGTTGCCCAGGCTGGAGCGCAATGGCATGATCTTGGCCCACTACAACTTCTGCCTCCTGAGTTCAAGCAATTCTCCTGCCTCAGCCTCCCAAGTAGCTGGGATTACAGGTGTGCATCACCACGCCCAGCTAATTTTTGTATTATTAGTAGAAACAGAGTTTTACCGTGTTGGCCAGGCTGGTCTCAAACTCCTGACCTCTGGTGATCCACCCACTGTGGCCTCCCAAAGTGCTGGGATTACAGGCGTGAGCCACAGCACCTGGCCTTTTTAAAAATTATTTTTTATTTTTATTTTTTGAAATGGAGTCTTGCTCTGTCACCCAGGCTGAGGTGCAGTGGCACAATCTTGGCTCGCTGCAACCTCTGCCTCCTGGGTTCAAGCAATTCTGCCTCAGCCTCCCGAGTAGCTGGGATTACAGATGCCCACCACCACTCACGGCTAATTTTTTATATTTTTAGTAGAGATGGAGTTTCACCATGTTAGCCAGGTTGGTCTTGAACTCCTGACCTCGTGATTCGCCCACCTCAGCCTCCCAAAGTGCTGGGATTACAGGTGCGAGCCACTGCGCCCGGCCAGTAATTTCTTAAATAATTATTATAAACTTGAATATGTCAAAAATATCAAATTACTTCAATCGAGTACTGAGAATATCTGATCTTACCACTTTTGATGTCTTTTTTTTAGTACATAAAAAATTACTACATTCTCTTTTAAAATAAAACCAGCCAAAAATAATTAATGTAATTTTTATACCCATCCAAACTAAAAGAAAACAAAAATTTGAATTTCAAAGTTCTGACCACTTTAAATCTGATTGATGTTTAAGTTCTCACTAAATTATATGTTTTCTTAAGAAAGAACTCAGAGGACTCGAACTATAAACTTAGTATGTATTTTTCAATATATGTCCAAAGGCGTAGTTGTACAAATATATCAATAATAAATTTGTTTTCTTGCCTGTGTACTTTTTTTGGTTTTTATTGTTCTCTCATTTAAGATTTGATGTGGAAAAGGAATGTTTAAAAATTGATGAAGATTACAAAGAAAAGACGGCAATAGACAAGTCGTACTTGTCTAAAATTGAGACAAGAATAGAGACAGCAGGTAATTGGAGAAAAAAAATTTAGTCTTTAAAGCTTTTGAATTATAATAAAAAGTGTAAACCTAGAAGACACCGTGTTTGAGTACTGCACAGATTTCCATGAAATGTTGATGGATTTTCTTCTAGAGTTGATCACTCAACAAATTCGATTCTTTTACCCACTTAATTTTTAAATGTAGTAAGAATTTAAAATATAAACCCATTTTTCTTACTGTAACTTATTTGTTTTTAATTCCTTTTTTGCAATCCTCCTTTTCTTCCAAATTCCTCAAATTGTTTTCTTTTTGCTTCAGAACAAAAGATGGGCAGTTTGTTTTTGTTTGTAGTCCATAGATGAATGTGTAAAACAAAATCAATCATTAAAAAATTCTGAATCCTCAAAACTTGTGAATGATTTTTTTTTTTTGAGACAGAGTTTCGCTCTTGTTACCCAGGCTGGAGTGCAATGGCGCAATCTCAGCTCACCGCAACCTCCGCCTCCTGGGTTCAAGCAATTCTCCTGCCTCAGCCTCCCGAGTAGCTGGGATTACAGGCACGCGCCACCATGCTCAGCTAATTTTTGTATTTTTAGTAGAGACGGGGTTTCACCATGTTGACCAGGATGGTCTCGATCGCTTGACCTCGTGATCCACCCACCTCGGCCTCCCAAAGTGCTGGGATTATAGGGGTGAGCCACCGCACCCGGCTGTGAATGATTTAAAAAGAAAAACATCCCTAAGCTTAGTTAATCTTTTATTTTATTTTGTTCATTTTATGATTTTTCTCCTTTCTTCTTCTTCTGTTAAAATAAACATTCTTGGATTTAAACTTTAAAAAATTCTGTTACATTATATGTTTACATATAGCAGATAACATTTATTTCTAGGACTGACTGAGAAAGAGAAGGATTTTCTTGCCACTCGTGAAAAGGAGAAAGGAAACGAAGCTTTCAACTCAGGTGATTATGAAGAAGCAGTGAAGTATTATACCAGGTGAGCAGATGTTTGCTGTGGTTTAGATTTGCCTTTTAAAAAATGGTAATGTTTTTATTGTTGAAACAGTATAAATAAATAAAATTCTGTGTCAGAATCTCTCAATGTATTGTACTTGTGTTTCTCTTATTTTTTCAATACTTTTCCCAAACCTCCAAGCTCCCACTCCACTCCTTCTTTTCACAGAGGACTTAACTTCTTATTTTGCAGAGAAAATAGAAGCCATCTAAAAGGAATTCAACAGAAGGCTCATATAATATAGAAGTGAATAACTTGGGTTCTATTGTAGACTGCCTGGATTTAATTCTGGTACTTGTGGTGCTCCTTCCTACCACAGGGCCTTTGCACATGCTGGGTCTGACATCAAAAATGCTTTTCCCATGGCTGGGCTGATTACAGTGGTATTTACAACTAATTGATTACAACCAGTTACAGATTTCCTTGTTTCTTCTCCATTCCCACTGTTTCACCTGACTAGCCTTTAAAGGAGAAGAAAAAATTTAAGAAAAAAAAAAAAGAAAATGCTCTTCCCTCCTCCCATTATCTAGTTAATTCTGATTTATCCTTCTGATCTTAGTCTTCACCTTACTTCTTTGGAGAAGTCTTACTTGACCTTTCTAACCAAATCTCTCTCCTACCCCACCCACCTCACCTCCCAATTTATAGGCTCTTGCCTCTCTTTTGTAGCACTTGTCAGAAGTATAATTTAAGTTTGTGTGATACCAATAACTGTTTCTTTTCTAGGAGCATATCAGTGCTTCCCACTGTAGTTTCCTATAACAACCGAGCTCAAGCAGAAATCAAATTACAGAACTGGAATAGTGCTTTTCAGGATTGTGAAAAGGTCTTGGAGTTAGAACCTGGAAATGTAAAGGGTAAAAAATATTATAGAATGCTTTTAAATTTGCAGCAGGATGCATTAATAAAGACCATTTGTAGACACTTATAATGTTTACATTAAAGTATTTCAGATAAACTCAAATTTCTGTATGTGAATCACCAACTTCATACAGTTGCTTTTAAGTTTAACTTGGAAGTCAAATCCCTGATTATTTTGTATTGAAGTAGCTAATAATCCCAGAGGATTGAATAAAATACATATGTATTTTAAAGGAGAACTATCTTGATAAACAAAAAACAAAACAACAACTAAAATAAAATAAAAGAGAAGTATCTCAGCCAGGCACAGTGGTTGATGCCTGTAATCCCAGCATTTTGGGAGGCCAAGGTGAGGTGACTGCTTGAGCCCAAGGGTGTGAGAGAGGCTTGAGTAACACAGCAAAACTCTGTGTCTAAAAAAAAAAAAAAATCTCAAGCTTGCATTGGAACAATCTTTTTATCCAGAAAAATTGAAGTATAATTTATTGTAGATTTTCTGGTATTTGTAAATATAGTAAAATAATAAGCATACACTAGACCTCTACAACCCTCTACCAGTTTCTTTGTGGGTATTTCTACCTAGCTGGCTATCTATAATTTTCTTTGTTTGTGTTTGAGACTCTTGTTTTGTCACCCAGGCTGGAGTGCAGTGGCACAATCTCAGCTCACTGCAACCTCTGCCTCCAGCATTCAAGTGGCTCTCCTGCCTCAGCCTCCCAAGTAGCTGGGACTACAGGCGTGCACACCTCACCTGTATATAGTAGAGAGGACAGGGTTTCACCATGTTGGCCAGGCTGGTCTTGAACTCCTGACCTCAGGTGATCCACCTGCCTTGGCCTCCCAAAGTGCTGAGATTACAGGTGTGAGCCACCGCTCCCGGCCTGTTTTTGTTTGTTTGAGATTGGGTCTCACTGTGTTACCCAGCCTGGAGTGCAGTGGTGCAATCTTGGCTCACTGCAACCTCTGCTTCCCACTCTCAGGTGGTCCTCCCACCTCAGCCTCTTAAATAGCTGGGACTACAAGCATGTGCCACCACACCTGGCTAATTTTTGGTATTTCTTGTAAAGACGAGGTTTCGCTATGTGGCCCAGGCTGGTCTCAAACTCCTGAACTCAAGTGATCTGCCACCTCACCCTCTCAAAGTGCTGAGATTACAGGCGTGAGCCACCAAGCCTGTAATTTAATTATTTAATTACTACACCATGATTTAATTATTTTAAATTAATAATTTGAATAATTTAATTCTAAAATTTTTCAAAAACTGACTCTTTCTGCCAAAAACCTTTGCTCTATCTTGATTCCCTGTCCCTGTGACTGACCACCTTGTCATGGTTCAGGCCTGAAGTATGCAAATAAGACTCTATACTTCTCTGCTTATCAAGAAGGAGTCATTCCAAGAGGGAATGACATGCTTTATAATAGACACATTATATTTCTTTAAGTATTTATGAATTCAAATAAATATACATTTTTTTTTCACATGCAAGGCATCCCTTTGTGCCTATAAACATGGTGGAGGTGGCAGAAGCCATGGAGTGCTAAGGGGAAGCCTGGTGCATCAGCTGCCACTGTCACTGTCATGGACTGCCCTCTGATACCCAATAAAGTGCTGTTAGGTCTGTGTTTAAGGCAAGCTGGTCTCTGTCACAGAGTATGGCTGGGCTCCCAGCTTTAGGTAGCAGCCCACTGAAGGTTTTGCCAGCCCCATACCAGTGCTCAGCCAGGCCCTGTGCCAAGCACTTTACATGTATTATCTCTGTTAATTTTAACAACTGTCTCGGCTGGGCGCAGTGGCTCATGCCTGTAATCCCAGTACTTTGGGAGGCTGAGGTGGGCTGATCACTTGAGGTTAGGAGTTCGAGACCAGCCTGGCCAACATGGCAAAACCCCATCTGTACCAAAAATTTAAAAATTGGCCTGGTTTAGTGGCTCATGCCTGTAATCTCAGCACTTTGAGAGGCTGAGGTGGGTGGATCACTTGAGACCAGGAGTTCAAGACCAGCTTGGCCAACATGTCAAAACCCCATCTCTAAAACTAAAAACGCAACTTGGGAGCCTGAGGCAGGAGACTTACTGGAACCCAGCAGGTGGAGGTTGCAGTGAGCTTAGATCATATACCACTACACTCCAGCCTGGGTGACAGAGCAAGACTTTATCTCAAAAAAATAATTTAAAAAAAACATAATAAATAAAAAGTTTAAAAAATTAGCTGACCATGGTGGTGGGCACCAGTAGTCCCACCTACTTGAGAGGCTGAGGCAGGAGAATTGCTTGGTCCCGGGAGGCAGAGGTTGTAGTGAGCTGAGATCACACCAATGCACTCCAGCCTAAGCAACAGAGCAAGACTGTCTTAAAAAATAAAAATAAAGAAGATGTTAGCATTAGGTAAAGCTGAGTTAAGGGACATAGAAACTCTTTATACTATCTCTGCAGCTTTTCTATAAATCTCAAATTATCTGAAATAAAAAGTTTTTAAAAAGGATAATCATTATGTCATGAATATTTCTGCATGGAAATTTTCTTCAGAAATCTTCATAGCAATAGAATAGCTAAATTGTATTTAAAGTGCAATGTTACAACTTTGATTAAATTTATAACAAAATGTTTTATTTAAATTTTCATAGCTCAAAGACTAAAATTCAAATTGGTCAAATTTATAATGTTCTAAAATAGCATATTAAAATATGTCAGATAAAATTTCTCACTTTTCAGAATTACCAAACTTGATTCTTTTTCAAAGTAATGACTTATTACACAAAAGTTCTCATTATATAATAGGTAATATGATGGGTCTAGAGAGGCATTCATTGTCAGTATTAAATAATTACCAAATTTTACATTGAAACCTACCAAAAAAATCAAACGCAAATTACCAAAGTGCTTAATTTCTTTACCCAGCTGACTTAATCATCAGGATTCTCTCAGTTCCCTGTGCTAAATAACTCCTTCTAATCATTTTAGAGATTGCTATACAGATGTCACTAATGAGCCATATTCTGAGCTAAATGCTGGTCAGTAATATACTTTTTTTTTTTTGAGACAAAGTCTTGCTCTGTCACGCAGGCTGGAATGCAGTGGCACAATCTTGGCTCACTGCAACCTCCACCTCCCAGGCTCAAATGATTCTCCTGCCTCAGTCACCTGAGTAGCTGGGATTAGTTGTGTGTGCCACCACGCCCAGCCAATTTTTGTGTGTTTTTAGTAGAGATGGGATTTTGCCATGCTGGCCAGGCTGGTCTTGAACTCCTGGCCTCAAGTGATCTGCCCGCCTCAGACTCCCAAATTGTTGGGATTATAGGCATGAGCCACTGTGCCTGGCCAATATAATACATTTAGATAAGGGATTTCAAAAAGTGGTGAAATAATACTAGTCATAATCTTAAGAAGGAAAGGATTATTATCAGTGAAAATCTTTCCAGTATTGCAACACAATGTGTTGCCTGTGAAGGGTTGAGGTATAAAATCTCTTAGTCCTTGGAGGAGCTGGCGGAGCCTGGGGCTGCCAGAGGGCCAGAGGTTTGTAACAGAGAGGACAGTTGCCTGATGCGGCCCCTTTTATTTACCTCAGTGTCATCTCCTATTGTGTATCAACATGAAAATGGATGTAGTTGAGCTTTGCATAATTACATCCTGTCCTGTACTACTCAGATTCTTCCATTTGCAAAACATGTTGTAACCATGATGCCAAATACTAAAAAATGTAACTTTATTTTGGTAAAATTTCAGCTCTTCTGCGTCGTGCTACTACATATAAACATCAAAACAAGCTCAAGGAAGCTATAGAAGATTTGAGTAAAGTACTAGATGTTGAGCCTGATAATGATTTGGCCAAGGTAAGTACAAAAAGTGATTTCTCACCTAATTCTGTAGTTGGCTGTTTCTGTATTTATGGTAAAGTGGTATCAATCTTGCCAAACAAATTATGTTGAAGATTAGATCACAGCTTTAAAAGGTAGGTATATTCCAGACTCCCCAAAATGTTAACACCTATTTGAAGTGGAAGAAAGCAGGATCTTAAAATTTTTTTCCAAAACTATAAACCTTCCTCCAAAGGACAAATATTCAATTTTTCTCTTTCCTATAGTGTTGTAGACAATGTTTTTCTCTGAGCTAATTTATCTGAGCTATGTGGAATGGTGTAGAAGGTACCTTGGGGTGAATTCTGTGGTCATTGAAGAGCGTTATTCTCTGTAACTAGCATGGTAAGCATAGCATCATTGATAGCATGTGCTACCTGACTGAGCAGACTGACTCAGTTATACACTTAGGGGATCTGTATTCATGCCTGAAGAGTAGAGGTAAGTGTCAAGAACTGAGATTTTCCCCCACTTCAAAATGAACAAGGTGGCCTACCAGAGGATTTAAGATATCCTGGTTCAAACATAAAAGACTTTGTTACTCCAAGCAGATGAGCTTCACATTCATGTTAGTTCCGCCTTGCTCCCAAGTCTCACAAGGATGACATAGAGTGGTCCAGATGGATGCTGCACACTCAGTGGGTTTATGTGATGGCTGACAAATAAAAAATTTAGGAAACTAGCCGGGCATGGTGGCTCATGCCTGTAATCCCAGCACTTTGGGAGGCTGAGTGGGGCAGATCACCTGAGGTCAGGAGTTCAAGACCAGCCTGGCCAACATGTAGAAACCCCATCTCTACTAAAAAAAAAAAAAAAAAAAAAAAAAAAAAAATTAGCTGGGCATGGTGGCACACACCTGCAATCCCAGCTACTTGCGAGGCTGAGGCAGGGCCATCACTTGGACCTGGGAGGCAGAGGATGCAGTGAGCACCACTGAACTCCAGCCTGGGCAACTGAATGAGACTCCATCTCAAACAAAAAAACAAAAATTTAGGAAACCCCCTTCTTTTATGATGGGCTATAAGCAAATCTGCCCAATCTTTGCTGTGTTGGGAAGCATCACCTTTATTACACTGGAGAGCCAACACACCTGTCCTCTCTGCTGCAGATGAATACCATTTCTGTTTGCTAAGAAACATCCTGAGCGATGTCCAGGAAGAAGGTGGTTTAGTGCCTCTGTTTGCAGTGTAGTCAGAAATGAGAGAAACCCATGGAGAAATTGTTACTAAGTTTCCACATACACCTATTGGGTTACCTATCCCACTGTCTCTGAGTGGCAGCTAATGTTCCTAGAATATCAGCTGCTTTTGTCAAGTCAACATTTCAGGTTTAGGTTTAGGGCCTGGCTTAGTATTTCCTTTTTGTAACGGTTAGGTTCACTTATTAATTTTTGAGACAGGACCTTGTTCTGATGCCTCAACTGTAGTTTTGTGGGAACATGGCTCACTGCAGCCTCCACCTCCTAGGCTCAAGTAATCCTGCCATCTCAGCCTCCTGTGTAGCTGAGACCATAGGTGCATGCCACTCCCAAAGTGCTAGGATTACAGGCGTGAGCCATTGTGCCTGGTTCTAAATGCATTTTTATCTTAACCATATGTAAAGATTAACTCAAAAGGAATCATATATGTTCATGTAAAGTATAAAATAAAAAGTTGTAGAAGAAAACAAGAGAAAATCCATATGACCTTAGACAAATATTTCTTAAATGAGACATGAAAAGTACAATCCACAAAAGAAAAAGTTGATATATTGGACTTCATCAAAATTCAAAACATCTGCTTTTCGAAGACACTATTAGAAGAATAAAAGACAAGCCACAGCCGGGTATGGTGGCTCACACCTGTAATCCAAGCACTTTAGGAGGCTCAAGTAGGCTGATCACTTAATTCCAGGAGATTAAGAACAGCCTGGGCAACACAGCTGAACTTCATCTCCACAAAAAATTTAAGAAGTTAGCCAGACGTCGTGGTGTGGGCCTGTAGTCCTAGCTACTTGGGAGGCAGAGGTAGGTAGATAATTTGAGCCTGGGAGGTCAAAGCTGCAGTGAGCTGTCATTGCACCACTGTACTCCAGCCGGGGCGCAGTGGGAGACCCTGCCTTCAAATATAAAACAAGCCACAGACCACAGACAGAGAAAATACTTGAAAATTGTGTATCCAACAAAGGATTGATATATATATTTTTCATTAGAGTCAGACTAAAATATTTCAGAATTTTCAATGTTATTCTAAAACAGTAATGTGGACTGGGTGTGGTAGTTCATGCCTGTAATCCCGGCACTTCAGGAGGCTGAGGCGAGAATACTGCTCAAGCCCAGGGTTGAGACTAGACTGGACAGCATAGTGAAACCTCATGTCTATATTTTAAATAAATAAATAAACAGCATAAGTAGCATAATTTCATTTGTGTAAAACTATACATCTCCGTGGGTATATATGCATAGAAACATCTAGAAAGATGATTATCAAAATGTTAGTAGTATCTGAGTGGCAATTTTAGGTGATTTTTTTTCTTTATGTTTTATGCTTGTTACACTAAATGTCCCCCCCCAGTGGACATGTATGATTACAATCAGACAAAGGCTACCAAAAAAAAGTGCCTTGTCTTAGTTTTATTCATTTTTCAACATCTTTATGTTTTTACCTGAAAGAATGGTTATATTTATTATTAAAGGAAAATATTTTCTTGAATATGCTAATTATGTTGCAGAAAATCTTGTCAGAGGTTGAAAGAGATCTGAAGAATTCTGAAGCTGCATCTAAGACTCAAACCAAAGGGAAAAGGATGGTTATTCAGGAAATAGAAAACTCCGAAGATGAAGAAGAAAAAGACAGTGAAAGAAAACATGAAGATGGCAGTGGAGATAAGAGTAAAACATCTTTTCTATTTAGATTATGTAAAATACTGCATTTTTATATGATGAGCTGGCTCAATTTTTCTATTTGTACAGAAATCCGTAATCTACTGAAGTTTTTCTAGCTTTGCCTTGTAAATTCACAAGCCAGCTTCACTCATCAACACAGCTTGATAGAATCTCTCAAACCATTTTCCTTCTTAAGCTGTCACCTTTTTCTAGTGCTCAGTTTAATTCCTGGTCATCCTTTAAATGTAAACAGCTATGTTTAGGCTATGTTTATTGACACAAACCATTTGCAAGTTAACCTTAAATATCTCTCTTTGATAATGGTTTTGTATATATCTACTTGACTGCAAACAAATACATTGGTTTCAAAATAGGTATGGGTAGCCCCAGTTATATGCCAAAAATGAATGCATTACTAGAAAATTGCTATGTGTGTCTCTCAGAAATATTTTCTGTATGCAAAAGAAGTATAATTTCACACTTGAAACAATATTTTAAGAGAATTAGACTAGATAAAGCTTTATCTTCATAATATAAAACATCTAAAGTTATGTCAACTTTGAGGGGAAAGATTTGCCTCCTAATTTGACAAGGGACATAAAAACTTTTTCCTCCTTGAGAAAACCTGAGCAACTGGCAGTCGGGGGGCTGTGAAGGGGGGAGATATTATCAATTTTGAAAATCATTCACAAGCAAAAATCAACTTCTAAGTAATTTGACAGAATATTCTAATTTTGATAGAGATACAAAATGTTCAATTCACTCAATTTTAAAAATAAAGAACAAGTGTTAATTTTTTTTTAGCAACGACAAATAATGTATATATTTTAGATTAAAATACAATTAGTTAAGATAGGATAAAGACAAAGGAACAGAAAAGGAGGGAGCCAGAAAGAGGAAGACAATCAGAGAGCTGAGAGGGAAGAGAGAATATAAAAAGGATTAAAAAGGGAGAAATTAAGGTAACCAGTTTTTCAAGGATTCAGGCTTGCCTTTTAGCCAGATTGTAAATATGATCCGGCAGCAAATCTCCTTAGGGTTTATATTTAGCTTAGCATAATTAGCCATATGCCTTACAGTTAAAGGAAATCATTTTAGATCTTATCTGAAGTGAGATGAAGTATAAACTATATTAATTCCTACTATTTTAAAATTTTATATATAGTAAAAATGGATCTTTTGAATGTACAGTTCTAATACATGTACAATTTCATGTAACCATCACCACAGTCAGAATACAGAACAATTCTTACCACCCAAAAAGGCCTTCTTGCTGTCCTTTCAGTGAAACCCTTCCTTCATCCCAGCTCTTCTCTGTTCCCATAGTTTTACCTTTTCCAGAATGTCATTTAAATGGAATCTTTAGAAGGTATGTCACCTTTTGGGTCTAGCTTTCTTCACTTAGCTTGTCACTGAGATTCATTCATGTAGCTGCATGTATCATTGGCTCATTCCTTTTTATTGCTAAGTAACATTCCATTAATAGTTGTACCAAAGTTTATACATTCATTTATTCAAGGACATTCAGGTTATTTCCAGTATTTGGTAATTATGAGTAAAAACTGCTCTAAACATTCATGAGCTGGTTTTTGTAATGTAAACATATGTTTTCATTTGCCCTGGGTAAATACCTAAGAGTAGGACTGCTGGGTCATATGGCACGTATACATTTAAATTTATTGGAAATTGCCTGACTGTTTTCCAGAGTAGCTATACCATTTTGCATTGCCATTAATAACACGTGAGAGTTCTAGATGCTTCTCATCCTTCCCAGCATTTGATATTGGCATTTTTCCCCCTTTTTACCCATTCTATTAGGTATATGGTGGTTTCTCATCAGTTTTAATTTGCATTTTCCTGATGAGAATCTCTCTCTCTTTTTTTTTTTTTTTTTTTTTTTGAGACAGAGTCTCACTCTGTCTCCAGGCTGGAGTGCAGTGGCACTATCTCGGCTCACTGCAACCTCCCACTCCCTGGTTCAAGCAATTCTCCTGCCTCAGCCTCCTGAATAGCTGGGATTACAGGCATGTGCCACCATGCCCAGCTAAGTTTTGTATTTTTAGTAAAGATGGGGTTTCACCATGTTGGCCAGGTTGGTCTTGAACCCCTGACCTTGTGATCCACCTGCCTCGGCCTCCCAAAGTGCTAGGATTACAGGTGTGAGCCACCGTGCCAGCCGAGAATCTTTTTATGTGCTCATTTACCATCTCTAATCACTTTTAGTGAGTGTCTCTTCAAATTATTCCATCAATTTTCAAAAATTGGGTTGTTGTTTTCCTACTGTTAAGTCCTGAGAATTCTTTTTATATTCTTGATGCAAGGTCTTTGTTATATATGAGATTTGAATATTTTTGTCTGTAGCTTTTTTCATTCTTTTAACAGTCTTTCACAGAGCAAAGGTTTTTCATTTTGTAAATTAATTTATCCAATTTTGAAAATGGGTTGTGCTTTTGATGTTATATCTATGAACACTTTGCCTAAGTCAAAGTCATGAAGATTTTCTTGTAAATTTTCTTTTTCAGAGATAGGGTCTCACTCTGTTGCTCATGCTAGAGTGCAGAGGTGTGATCATAGCTCACTGCAGCCTCAATCTCCAGGGCTCAAGTGATTCTCTGCCTCAGGCTCCCAAGTAGCTAAGAGTATAGCTGAGTGCCATCATATCTGGCTAATTCAAAAAAATTATTTAGGCTGGGTGCAGTGGCTCACGCTTGCAATCTGGGTATTCTGGGAGACTGAGGCGGGTGGATTACCTGAGGTCAGGAGTTCAGGACTAGCCTGGCCAATATGGTGAAACCCCATCTGTACTAAAAATACAAAAATTAGCAGGGCGTGGTAGCATGCATCTGTAGTCCTAGCTACTTGGGAGGCTGAGGCAGGAGAATGGTTTAAACCTGGGAGGCAAAGGTTGCAGTGAGCCGAGATCGCACTGTTTCCTGGACAACAGAGACTCCATCTCAAAACAAAACAAAACAAAACAAAAATTATTTGTTGCAGAGACAAGGTCTTGCCATGTTGCCCAGGCTGGCCTCAACCTTATGGGCTCAAGGGGTCCTCCTGCCTCAACCTCCCAAAGCACTGGGATTACAGAAGTGAGCCACCGTTTTCTGAAACTATTTGTTGAAAGCTGTCTTTACTCTTTTGAATTGCCTATGTACCTTTGTAAAAAAAAAAAAAATCACATTTGTATAACCAGTAAGTAGAATCCAATTCTGGACCCCATTCTGTTTTTGACCTATGGGTCTGTCACTTTGTCAGTACCACACTGTCTTGATTCACACAGATTTACTGTTAAGTCTAAATTCAGATTGTGTGATTTTTTTTCAGCTTAATTCTTCTTTTTCAAGATTGTTTGGCTATTCTAGTTCCCTTGCCTTTACACATAGTTTTCATTTTAATTTTTTTGAGACAGGGTTTCACTCTGCTGCTCAGGCTGGAATGCAGTGGTGCAATCATGGTTCATTGTAGCCTTGACCTCCTGGGCTCAGGCAATTCTCCTGCCTTAGTCTCCTGACTGAGGCCACATATGTGTGCAACCATGCCCAGCTAATTTTCAAAATTATTTGTAGCGATGAAGTCTCCCTATGATACCCAAACTGTTCTCAAACTCCTGGGCTCAAGCCCATCCTCCTGCCTCAGTCCCTCAAATTGCTGGGATTACAGGCATAAGGCATCATGCATGGCCACACATAGTTCTAAAATAAGTTTTTTCTGTTATATTTTCCTTTTTTTTTTGCCGTAGGATATAGGTTCTGAATATTTTACTTTTTATGGTCTACATTCCTCTCATTTTTCTTAATATTCAATTATGTGTCACATGAAATTACTTAACAATGTCTTACATTTGGTGACTATTTTACAAGTCTTTGTATGGGCCAGGCACTGTGGCTCAGGCCTGTAATCCCAGCACTTTGGGAGACCAAGGCAGGTGGATGGCTTGGGTGCAGGAGTTCAACATGGCAAAACCCTGTCTCTACGAAAAATACAAAAATTAGCTGGATATGGTGGCACGCTCCTGTAGTACCAGCTACTCAGGAAGCTGAGGCAGGAGAATTGCTTGAGACCAGGAGGTGGAGGTTGCAGTGACCCAAAATGATACCACTGTACTCTGGCCTGGGTGACAGACCAAAACTCTGTCTAAAAAAAAAAAAAAGGGCTTTTTGTTATATTACTAAAACTTGTATTTTTAGTCATTGTAAAATACAGGGGATTTTCCTCTATATATCGTTATATACTAATCTGTGACAGAGTATAATAGTACTATGGCAAATATAAAGGAGTACAACTGGGTTTTCTGTATTTAAAAAAAGTCATCCAAAAAAGTTAGCCAGGCACGGTGGTGCGTGCTTGTAGTCCTAGCTACTCGGAGGCTGAGACAGGAGGAGTGCTTGAACCCAGGAGTTTGAGGCTGCAGTTAGCCATGATTATGCTGCTGCATTTCCATGTGGGTGACATGCTGGGAATTTGATTGAAATGGAACTGAATTTATAGATCATTTTGGAGGAGAAATGACATGGTGACTAAATTGCATTTTCTAATCTATAAACATGGTATGTGTGTCTATTTATTTAGGTCATCTTTGATTTCTTAGTGTTTTTTGTTTTGCAGCATATAGATACTGCACACACTTTGACAGATTTATACCTCAGTATTTTAGCTTTTTGAAGTTATTGTAAATCATATTTATAAAAAAATTTATAAAATTGAAAATTCAGTCGTTCATTACTAGAAAATAGAAGTATAATTGATTTTTTTTTGAGATGGAGTTTTGCTCTTGTTGCCCAGGCTGGAGTGCAATGGCATGATATTGGCTCACTGCAACTCCTGCCTCCTGGGTTCAAGTGATTCTCCTGCCTCAGCCTCCTGAGTAGCTGGGATTACAGGCATGTGCCACCATGCCCAGCTAATTTTGTATTTTTAGTAGAGACGGGGTTTCTCTATGTTGGTCAGACTGGTCTCGAATTCCCATCCTCAGGTGATCTCCCTGCCTCGGCCTCCCAAAGTGCTGA